CACACACACACACACACACACACACACACACACACACACACCATTCCACGGAGACCCCATCCACTCCACTACCTGTTGTCTTGGTAACCACACACTGTGTGTGAACCATGTGATGAGGAAGGTGAAGAGCTTGCATCTGCCGCATCTACACTCACACACACACACGTGCGCTCACACACACAGACACACACACACGTGCACAYACCCTTCTGTGGGAAAACTGCAGAGTCTATAAAACACTATTGTTGGACGAGCTGGTGCGTGTGCGTACATCGATCCTGGCATCGTTTTCCTTTTCTTTGCGCTCTAAAATAAAATGGCTGCCATCCTGTGTCGTTCAAAGCTGCAACACTTTCCGGTTAACGAAGCAGCCGAAGCAGCCGAAGCAGCCGAAGCTGCTGGCGGAGCCGGAGAGAAGTGCTCGTTCTCTGATGGGCTCGTGTGTCGAACGCGGCGGTTCTGTTTGGAGCGGTCAGCAGTTTAATCACCGCTCTGAAGTGGCCTCCAGGGAGGCTGTTCAAACTGTAATCACAGGCGGCAGAGAGGGAATTAAACCATCTGAAAACCACTGTTTCCATCAAAACATCAGCTAAACAAACAAACAAACAAAAACACAGCTGACTACATTTTAAACTCAATTAGGTCAAACTAGAAGATTTTTGTTCAAACTAGAGATTCATAAATGTTGATAGCTAATATTTACTGAAGCTGAAACTGATTTAAGGCTAAAAGAACATTCACACTCTTAACAAAAACACTAGCTGAAAGCTAAAAGAAGCTAATCGCTAGTTTGAAACTAAGGGTATCAAAAGGCTGGTTAACAGCTAAAGGCTTAAAGTTTGAAAAGACGTTAACATGTAAGTTGGCTAGTAGTTAACAGTAGCAAAAAGCTATCAGAGTAGCAAAAAAGTTCAAAGACTAAAAGTAGCAAAAGCYTGGCTGAATGTTTAAAATATAGCTAAAATGTAAAAGTGGCGAAAGGCTAGCTTAAACAACTAAAGAATAGCTACACATTAAACACAGCAAAAGATTTGCTAAAGGCTAAATGTAGCAACAGGCTAGCTACACATAGATTAGCAAAAGGTATGCTAAAAGTAGCAGTAAAAGTAGCAAAAGCCTGGCTGAAGGTTTAAAATATTGCTAAAATATAAAAGTGGCAAAAGGCTAGCAAACAACTGAAGAATAGCTACACATTAAACACAGCAAAAGATTTGCTAAAGGCTAAATGTAGCAACAGGTTAGCTACACAAAGATTAGCAAAAGGTATGCTAAAAGTAGCAGAAAGCTAGCTTGAGTGTAAAAGTAGCAAAATCTTAGCTAGTGAATAACTTAAGGCTAGCTAAAAGTTGCAAATAGCAAAAGGTTGGCTAAAAGCTAAAGGCAGAAAATGCTATCTTAAACTTGTGTTTTTAAGAGGAATGTGTTTTTGAGGGAGCTGAATAGATTTTATTATATTTTGTGATGAAAATCAGCAGAAATAGTTAAATTGGGAAAAAAATACAGAAATGTTTAAACAGAAAATCAGTTTCATTGAACTGCATGACTTCCTGTGCATTTCTACGGAGACACCAGTTATCTCTAATAATCTCAAAAGGCCCGTTTAGCATTTTATTAGCCACAATCAGACCAAATGTAACAGTTATTCCCATAAGTGATGTGTTTGTAAAAGACTAAACTGAAAAGTGTTTTTCCTTCTTTAACTCCCAGGTTTCCTCTGCACCGGGACTTCAGGCTGAACATCAAAGAGTCTGAAGCTTCAACTTTCTGCCTACAAAACGATTCAGTTCAGTTCAGTTTACACCTRAGGCTGAGCCGCTCCACAGGTAAAGATTCAGATCTGATCAAACATTCATCAGAGACAAATATTTATCTTTAGCTGCTCGTTAAAAACTGACAAAATTTATCCATTTGTTTGAGTTTTTACTAAGAATCTGCTCACGTTTATTGCATGTCGCCTGCCACCTTCAAACTAAAAYCTATTTAAAGAGAAATGAGCTAAAACAATGACCTGATCTGTTAGCTCTGAGTTACTCTCAGCTACTAAAGCATCAAATATTACAACTAAACCTGCAGCTAAAAACTAAAACGTAGCTAAATTAAAACAAACAAGTAGCTGAAAAAATATAATTGCAATCGTGGCTCAAAGTAAAAATTGTAGCTACAATTAAATGACAAAAACTGTAGCTAAAATCTAGCATGTAGCAATAGCATAGCTAAAGGCTAAATGCTACAAGGGTAAAAGGGTAGAATTAGCAATAAAAGTAAGTAAAATTAGCTTATTCCTAGCTAAAATGGACAATTAGCAGAACCAGAGCTAAAAGGTAAAATTAGCAAAACAGTAGCTCAAAGCAAATCTTGTAGCTAGAATAAGTGATCAAAATCAAAGCTAAAACCTAAATGTAGCAAAACCAGAGCTAAAAGCTAAATATGCCAAAACTGTCATTAAAAACGTAACATTAGCAAAACACAAAAATGTAGCTAGACAGAAAAATTAGCAAGACGGTGAAATTTACAAAAGTGTCACTAAAGCTAAAAACTGTAGCTAAATTATTGACAAAATCTGCAGCTAAAAACTAAATGTAGCTAAAAGCTACATATAAAAGGACTGTAATAAAAAATGTGAATTTTGCATTATTGTAGCTGAAAAGTAAAATTGGCTTTTCCCTAGCTAAACAATTARCAGAACAGTAGCTAAAAGGAAAATTAGCAGAACAGTAGCTAAAAGGTAAAATGATCATAACAGTGGCCCTAAACAAAACTTATAGCTACAAATTAAAACGACCAAACTCACAGCTAAAACCTAAGTGCAAAACCATAGCAAACTAAATATACCAAAACCATTGCCAAAAATTTAAAATAAGCTAAACTTTAAATCTAAAAATGTTGCTGGACAGAAAAAAAAGCAAAACAACAAGCTACAAGCTAAACTTTGCAAAATTGTAGCTAAAAATTAAACACAGCTAAACCTTAGCTAAAGGATAAACCGAAACAAACTGCAGGGAAAATCAGGAGACAAAATTAAAGCCAGACTTTTTCTGATTGAGCTGAATGTTTTGGTTGATAAAAGCTAAAACAGTATAAATTTTGTGGACGAGAAGAATGCTGAGTCAGCATTCACRCTGTTCTTAAAATGAATGAAAACCAATCAGYCACATGAAAAAGAGCAGTCTGAGGAAGAGGAGGAGGATTCTCTGCTCAGGAGCAGAGATTTTATCAATGAAGCTCCTCGTCTTGGATCACAGACATCCATCCGCTGCGTTTTAACTTCTGATCTGTGGAATCTCTCCTCAGAGCGACGGGACCGGCCCGTTTGATCAGAGGAGCTGCTGACAGTAAAACACAGACACACAGAGGAAGAAGCAGCGTGAAAACAGCCGACTTTAATGTGTGGACTGGCTTCAGCTGCGAGGGATGCCTTAAACCAACGTGTGTCTGTTAGCAAAATAACTCATGAACCGCTGGATGAGTTTTAATGAAACTTCCAGGGAATATTCATCGGATGAACGTCTGCAGATGATTAACTTCTGGAATGAGCCTGAGTCAAGATGGCCGCTGCAGCTAACCAAACTTAGCAAACACAAAAAAGATTCTAATTCAGACGTTTGTTCATTCTTATGCAGTTTTCTCATAAAATGTGTCAAYGCTCAGACTGTGTTTGGGATGACTCTCAGCTACTACCACACCAAGTTTTAGCTTCGTATTTGAACAAATTTTATTTAGCTTTTAGTTAACTTTTAGGCTTAACTGGCTAGCATTTTGTTCCTTCTACCTAACCTTTAATTACTTTTAGCTCGCTTTTTACTACTTTTAGATTCTAACTAGCCTTTTTCTATTTTTAGTGTTTCGCAGGTTTTAACTGTCATTTAACATTTTGTTCCTTTTAGCTTCTAGCTAATCTTTAGTTACTTTTAGCTCGCTTTTTGCTACTTTTAGCTCTAAGCTAGCATTCTCCCAATATTGGTGTTTCACAGGTTTTAGCTGTCATTTAGCATTTTGTTCCTATTAGCTTTTAGCTAGCATTTTGTTCCTTTTAGCTTCTAGCTAACCTTTAATTACTTTTAGCTTGCGTTTTACTACTTTTAGATTCTAACTAGCCTTTTTCTATTTTTAGTGTTTCGCAGCTCGCTTTTTGCTACTTTGTTCTCCAAGCTAGCATTTTCCCAATATTAGTGTTTCACAGGTTTTAGCTGTCATTTAGCATTTTGTTCCTATTAGCTTTTAGCTAGCATTTTGTTCCTTTTAGCTTCTAGCTAACCTTTAATTACTTTTAGCTCGCTTTTTACTACTTTTAGATTCTAACTAGCCTTTTTCTATTTTTAGTGTTTCGCAGGTTTTAGCTGTCATTTAACTGTCATTTAGCATTTTGTTCCTATTAGCTTTTAGCTAGCATTTTGCTACATTTAGCTTCAAGTTAGCAATGCCAATTTTTAGTGTTTTGCAGGTTTTAGCTGTCAACTAGCATTTTGTTCTTATTAGTCACATTTTGCTCGCTTTTTGCTACTTTTAGCTCCAAATTAGCCTTTTCCTATTTTTAGTGTTTCACAGGTTTTAGCTGCCATTTAGCATTTTGTTCCTATTAACTTTTAGCTAGCATTTTATTCCTTTTAGCTTCTAGCTAACCTTCAGTTATGTTTAGCTAGTGTTTAGCTGTTTTTAGCTTCTAACTAGCCTTTCTAGTCTTTTCTTCCATTTAACTTTTACTAATATTTTTCAATCAACTTATTTAGCTGCGGTGCTACTTTTAGCTAATGTTTTGTTAATGTATTTATTCAACACAGACTGAGTTTTAATCATTTTTTGTTTAAGACTGATTAGCTGCTGCGGCCATCTTGAACTGTGCTGACTCTAAGTATTGTACATCTATTGAGCTGAAGTTGAATTAAAATCCGTCCTGTGGATAAAGAGATATTTTGCTAACAGACACAAGAATCACCATTAAGCCAGTGGAGGCAGTGGATAAAAAGGCCCGTTCAGGAGGTTCTGACGGTTTTGGTCTTGGGTTCAGATCCTCAAAGACAGWAGTGAGGGCGGTGGCAGCTGGACCCGCGGTCCTGACCCAAATCGGTCTGGACTAGTAGACCAGATCAACCAGCCTTTTTAAAGGCTAAAACCCTTTTTTTAAATAAATGACACAATCTCACCACTCAGGGACTCGGTCTCCTCAGAGAAGCACCTTCGCCTGTTTCCGTGTCAGTGGGACAGGAAGTTCGGTGCTGTGGTTGTTACTGTGGCAACCAGGTYCAAGGACACGAGGGCGAAGAGGCGCTAAAGGAACCTGATCTGTCCTACAGATTCAGGACTTCACATAATTTCCCCGAGTCAAAAAAAAATAATAATAATAAATCTCTCTTTAGTTTCTGTCTCTGCTGCTGGATTAAATTTATATTTTTTCCTTCCAAGAAGAACGGTTTCACTCAACAGTTCAGACTTTTTGGAGGTTCTGAGTTTCTCTGTGGACTTCAGCTGCTTTTTGTTATTTTCAACTAAAATAACAAAAAGCTAAAGTCTGTTAGCAAAATATCTCATGAGTATTAAAATTAACTGTTCATTGGATTCAAGATGGCTGATCAAAATGAGCCGACACTCAAATGAATAAAACTCAGTGGATTTTACAGATATTGAGCTAAAATTCGGCGTGGTAGTAGCTGAGAGTCATCCCCAACACAAACTCTGAGCGTGAAGTCGATTTTCAACATGAAATAATCTGAGCGGCTTGAATCAAACTGTTTTATCTGTTGAGTTGTACGAGCTTTTTTTTWTTACGTTAGATTTAAAATGTTCCTGTGAAATTTATTTAAAAAGCAGCCGATTTTCAAACTTTAAGGTCTGGAGAGTTACTGACCGGGGCTGTTACAGTCTGAAGAAATGAGGACCGGATCAGCAGTTCTGGCTCGGGTTCTGCAGGTGTGCAGGTATTAATCAGATCTGCAGCAGAGCAGGAAACACCTCGTCTCTCCTCTTTATTCTCCTCTTCATTTGCATTTTCTCGTTAAAGCCATCATCTGTCAGACAGAGGAGGTGTCAGGGAGCATGCTTAGTCCAGGTCCAGGACCTGGTCCTGTCAGCACCCCACATTACAAACACCCCCCATCTTTTATTTATTTATTTATTTATTTTTACCTTTCCCATCAGGCTCACCTCCCCATCAGGGAGCCATGACCACCTCCTGTGTATACATTACACACCACCTCCTGCACCGACCAATCAGGAGCYGGATCAGGGAGGCAGACTTGGGAAGCACATAGTTACAGCGGCGGATCCATACGTTTGGACCCGGACTTTGGACCAGGAGCAGGTTCTGTCCTGAGCGGGCCGGTCCACCTCACCAGGTGGAGTCACGGTGGAGAACAGATGATGTTAGGCGATGATGATGATGATGATGATGAAGATGATGATGATGATGATGATGGACATAAATGAAAGGTCGTTTAGCATCCCCCCGGGGACAGGCTGGGTTACCATGGCAGCAGGAGGTGTCTTCACCTGTCTCCAGATTAAGACAAAGATCAGCAGATCTGAATAAAACACCTCCTCCTCCTCCTCCTCCTCCTCCTCCCTGAGGCGCCATGCAGCACTCAGGATGAACCCACAAACCCTGACGTCTCAGTGTGAGGTGTAAAACACACCCTGCATGTGTGCACGCGCTCTGCCAGCGCACAGGTGTGTGTGAGAAGATGAAATCAGCTCACCTTTCACTTGACTCTCGTACTCCTGCAGGATTTCTTTGTCCTTCTTGCTTTTGTTTAAGTTGGACATGTCTGCTGGGCGGGTGGACGCAGGTTCAGTTCACGAAAGGTGGAAACAGTTGAGTGAAAATGAAATAAAAATTAATCCCTTGCGCGCGCGCCGGCTCCTTCTGCACCCGCACACATGCTCCTTCATCCATCCAGTGCCGCAGCCGCTCAGTGGCCCCGCGCGCCTCCACGCTGAGGAGCAGGAGGAGGAACCACACGCGCTCAGAGGAGTCCGTTCGATGTCGTCTTCACCCCGCCGTAACCTTTCACACACTGACACACACAAACACGGCACGTGCACCTTTACTCTGGTCCTCCGCGCGTGCACTGCAGATAAAAATGCTAAATGARTGACACGCGACTGAGCAGATGGGTGTGTCCGTGATGTGGGCGGGGCTATAACACTGACTGACAGCTGAAGYGGCCAGTCACAGCAACTTTTTGTAAAATAGTTTAATTAGCACTTCTTAATATTGCTAACATTTTTTTAGAAAAATTGTATGGATTATATTGGTTGCATTAAATGTTTGTTTTTTTTACATAACTTCTAGTAAAGCATTTTATCATATTAGGATATGGGGTGCCGTTTGTAAAGTTACACAGTCAAAAATTACCACCAATATTTTTGTTTTATTTAGAAAAAAAAGAACAGATTTATTTTTCAAAGTTTTTCACCAAATGATTCATACATTTATAAATGTCATAGTTTATAAACTAAATATTTAACTTACAAAGTCAAAAATTACCACCAATAATTTTGTTTTATTTAGAAAAAAAGAACAGATGTATTTTTCAGTCAGTTTTTCACCATCTGATTCATACATTTAT